GCTGTCGAGAAGAAGGACCCGCCTCCGCCCAAGGGCCTAGAGCCAGGCATCCCTAGTTACGACTGGGTCAGGCATGAAATGGCGGGGGTCCAGAGCATTTTTCGCTCCTTTCTTGAGGTTAATGGGATCCCGAGATCATGTAGGGTTTGTGACCCCTCCATTTCCCGGATGATCCGGCTTGAACCTTGTCAGGCCGATGAGGGCGTGTACATGGGGAGGTCTACCGACCCTCCCAATTTTTATATGTACCACTATTTTTTTAGGGATTTAGGTGTCTGTCTTCCCTTTACTCAGTTCGAGTGTGATTTTTTGAACTTTGTCAACTCGGCTCCTTGCCAGTTGCACCCCAATAGTTGGGGTTTTTTGAGGGCTTTTCAAGTCCTGTGTACAGTTTTAGGGATAGAGGTGTCTTTTCCCGTCTTCCTTCATTTTTACCAGTTGAAGTTAGGCGTTCCGCCATACGGCATACTATCTCTGAGTGGGAGTAGGGATGGGGTTTGTTTACTCTCTACTCCTAGTTGTACAAAAATTTCAAACAAGAGTTTTTCCGAGTCGCTAATACTCACATATATAATGTAATATATTAAAAAAATTAATGATAGAATAAAATTTGCGTATGCATGTTTACCTTTTGTGCTTTCTATTTATTGTATACATTGATTAAAAAAATCAAAATAGCAAAGATTGTATGATTGTATATGTTGATTACAAAATAGAAAAAATTGGATGATTTATGTTTTATTTAAAATTTTTATTATAAAATATGTTCTAAAATAAATTATCATCTAAAAAATTATATTAGATATTAAAAACATGTTTATATCATAAATAAATTAAACTTGATTTTTATACAATTTAACATTTATTTTTTTTATATTTTTATTAGTGTTAAATTATTACAAATAGGTTTTTAGGATAGTAGTTCTAACCAAATATTTTTAAAAAAAATGTCTATGACAGATAAATAAGTCATATTTAGGACATATATATTTTTTTAAAAAAAAGTTAGATTCAAACCTATTAAATTATAATATAACCTAGTTTGACCTAATTTATTTTCATCCTTAATCATAATCGTAGATATAAAAAATTTTAAAAAATAATTATGATATATATTTATATATTTAAAATTTATATGTAAAATTTTTAATATTACAAATATATGAATAAGTATTGCCCTCACTATCTAAATTTTATGGATCAGTCATTGTATATATATATGTGTGCGTGTTTTATGTAATTTTTATTTGAAATTTTGATTAATATTTTCTTATGTATTTGCATTTGAATCAACGATATACTTGATTTTTCAATATAAAAAATTATTACTCTTTATTTTATTTATTAAAAATAAAAACATGTAATTATTTTTATTTCTATTTTTTTATTTTAAAAAGAATTGGTGAGTTAGCCCACTTAACTCCACCAATCTGTGGTGGGTTTAGTTGGATTGGAATTTTTCTGGCTCATCAGAAAGTGAGCCAAATTAGAATCTTTTGTTTAATGTACCAACCCGTAGTGAGTCAACCCATGTGAATTAGATTCACTTTGACACCTCTTAGATACTATGATATTCATTCACATATGTGTATTTAAAAAAGTAATGTCACTTTAAAAATTTGAGTAAGATTATTAAGATATATGTAAATAATATTATTTATTTATTTTGCGCGAGGGAAACTAGTTTTAAACTTTTACATTATCTTGACTATTAAAAACATAAAAAGTTACATAATAATATTAGAGCACTTTCAACTAAGGTTGTTTAAGATGTATCTTAAAGATAAGGAATGATGCTTCCAACAATTTGCCATTAGAGTGATTTGACGTGGCAAGGAAAGTTGGAAATTTTATATTTGTTGCTTCAAGAAGGAATGATGCTTGGAGCTCTAAAATGCCAAATGGAAAGTTCTCCATGGTTCATCCTCTAAGCTGGAAGCTTCAACAACACACCTCAGGTAGCCACGCCTTAGACAGCCACGTCTCAAATAGCCTTTGAACTGTGCAAAGGGGTGCGGTTCAGGACAAAGCAGTGCGACGTCCCTGTGGTCGGTGGTGGTGACGAACCCCATCGCAAGCGTTGACCAGCGCCACAGTTGCACGGAGACCTTGGAGAAAGCCTTGGTCATGATGTGTGGATGAGCTTCTCTAGAAAAAGCTAATGAATTGCCACACCAATAAAATTGAAAAAGGATGTTGACATTGCATACAAGTTGAATTGTTTATAATAAAATAATAATATAAGGC